ATGGCACAGCAGACCTCTCCTGTCTCACCCGCTGCTCCCCTCAGCAGTGTATTTCAGTAGATCTCCCTTTTCTGCTCCCCACTCTGTCTCTGTGAATCCTCTGACCTCCCACCCCCCGGCCTGCACCTCTGGCCTACACCCCAGCTCTTGAATGAATAAATAATTCTTTCAAAAAATAAAGGAGTCAACTTAAAGATACTGAATAAATAACAGCGCAGGTGGAACACATAAGGCAAAAATTCTGCAGATGTCTGTCTATGGTTTAGAAAACACAGGGAGAGCCCGTCAGTTGGTCACATGCAAAGTGCAAATGGTTGAGATGGGAAGAAAAACCCTGAAAACAACAGCTGCAAGATCTCCTTCAGAAACATTTCTCAAGGAGTAAGAATGTTCAAGAAACTCCCCATTACTTTACTGTGGCCCTAGATCCCAGAAAGTGGAAGTTGGAGGGGTGGGAGGTGCTGGTTATCACCTTCATGAAACTGATGCCTTCAAGAAACTATCAAAATGACAAGGCAAGGGATGGACTCATTTCCTTGAGAATAAAAAAAACCCACACATGTAGGAAAAAAAAAAAACATTAAACTCCATCCACCGTCCTCACTCAGAAAAGGGAGGTCCACCAGGGTGTTCTGGTGCACAGAAGGGCCAAATGGCAGCTTTCTGGATGAGAATGATGGGTCAGTCTTGCCATCTTTGGTTTGGAGATAATATGATATACATTTATATGCCCAAATTTAAATACTTAGTTGTATTCTGCTTAATTCCCTTAGATCAGTCATTCTCAGTTGGCAGGAGCAATGTTTTACACACTATCCATACATCAAAGATTGCAGGATATTTTATTGGCAGGTATGGGTTGTAGCCCCCCCGCTCACCTGCACCCAGGAGAGCCACTGTTATGTGAGAGTGAATCATGCCCCCCCCCAAGAGTGTAGGTAGAGAAAAAGATACAGAGTTAATATTTCAGTGAGAGCCACAACAGTAGAACTCTTCTCTGTCGGCCCCCACCATGCGGCAGGTGTATGGGGAGTGCAGAAAGAGGTGATCTGTTTCCCCTTTCAGCAACATTATTATGAACAGAAGATAAGGCTTGGGAAAAGCTGCTCCCAGCACTATAATCTGTAAAATGAATAGGCAGTGGCTTACACAAGATCTAGTTTCGGAAAGTAGTTACCACCAAGAACAGGTTTTTAGTGACAAAGATCTGGTTTGTTTCACAGAGAATTTCTTCCCTAACAGATATTGGTCTTTGTTTTTTCTCTTCCTCCCAGCCCCTCTTTCTTCCTTCTGTTCTTCTTTCTATCCTATTAGTCTCTTTTCCACCCAATCTTCTATTCTTTGAGTTCTTGCTTACACCTCAGATCAGATGTATACTGGCTGGCTAACAGTTTGGATCTGCTCTTTCAGATCAAAAGCACCCAAAGCTTCTGTGTCTTATTGGACATCACCAGTTTTCAAACGTCTTTCTCGAAAGCCTTATGACCCTCCAGGGAGAAGTGAACAGGTAACTGTGAGCAGTGATTTCAGGGTACAGTTCTGTGCTATCTCATATCCTGGCACTGCCTGGTCCAAGCTGTGTGACATTGAATAAATTTTGTGCCTTGGTTTCCTCATCTATCAAATGAAAGCCATAAGATCCTTTTATACACTTGTATTTTGAGAGAATTCAGTGGGTTGAGCACATGTATGGTGCTCCTGTCCTGAGGAGGACAGGAATCAGCACAATAAGCTGCTAGTTTACACATTTGATCTTTTTTTAAATATTTTTTTAAGATTTTTTTTTTTTTAAATTTATACAAGAGCTGGGATACAGGCTAGAGGCACTGGAGGGTGAGAAGATTCACCAGGGACAGAGCGGGGAGCAGAACAGGCAGACGGACCTAAAGCACTGCTGAGGGGAGCAGCGGGTGAGACAAGAGAGGTCTGCCGCGCCATGTGGGAATCTCCCTGGTGGGTCGGGAATCGAACCTATGCTGCAGAGGCTGCAGACAGCTTCACAACGCTATGCTTAACCCACTGCGCCACCAGGAGGCCCCACATTTGACTTCTTCCATAAGATTTCCTTCAACAAGAGAACACTCCTGCCCCCAAAGTTTTGAAGATTGCTTGGCTCCTGTGACCGAGGCTTGTGGTCATTATATAAATTTGCACGCTACTTTACCCATACTTTTTTTTTTTTAATAGAGGCATGTTTTATTTATTTAGTTAGTTAGTTTGTTTTGTTTTTATACATGCATTGGGTACAGTCAGAAGCACGGGAGGGTGAGAGAATTCACCAGAGCCAGAGCGGGGAGCAGAGCAGGCAGAAGGACCGAAGTACACTGCTGAGGGGAGCAGCGGGCGGCAGGAGAGGTCTGTGCGCCATGTGGGACCCTCCTCCGGTGGCCGGGAAGCAGCCAGGGATCGAACACTCCTCCGGTGGCCGGGGAGCAGCCGGGAATCGAACCGGCACCGCAGAGGCCGCGGGCAGCTTCCCAACCCAGCGCTCAACTGCTGCGCCACCGGGGAGGCCCTACCCATACTTTTTAATAATGTTTTCTTCCCTCTCTCAGAATAACCTCCCCCTTCAGAACTGAATCCCTCCTTCGTTTTCAAGGTCAGAGTCTCCTTGTCACTGTCCTGCAATTTCAGTGGGTTCCCTCAGACTCATGGACACCACAGACACCACAAAACACCTGGCTGAACCCTGTCTTTCATCCCGAAGGCAACTGGGGTGCTCTCAAGTACATGATCTCACCTAACGGTGCAGTGAGGGGGAGGGGTAAGGAGACCACAGGTTTCCTTTGATTGTTCCCCAGCATTACCCTTTCTCCCCAACATTGGCGGAGTCACAAACAGGACGACTCCAAGTTGCCTGCCACCATCAGAGTCACATTTCTCTCCATGACACTGGATTCTGCCATCTTTAAAGACGTCCCTGAAGAAGTGATGCCTCTGGTGGCATTTTCTCTGACCACACAGTGAGCAGTCTGAGACTTGCATATTTATTTGTTCATTCATTTCTTTAACAAGATTTTTTTTTTTTTAAGCCCCACAGTAGTTCTAGACCCTGTGCTGGGCGCAAGGACTCTGGAATAAATGACAGAGTCTCTGTGTAAGGAGTTCGTGTCCTGCACCCAGCGAAAATCAGCAAGTTACAGAGAAGTGTGCTGGGGTAAGGGCTAGGGCAGGGTTCACATCCAGTGATGGGGGAGTTCATCCAGGCTAGGGGCCGTGAAGGAATTGACCCTTATTCTGAATCTTAGGCCCTGGCAGATGAAGAAAGGGTGAAAGTATTGTGGGTGGAGGGCAGAGTCTGTGGCAGAGAAACAGAGAACTTTGGAGAAAGTGCCAGAAGTTCTGTTCAGGAGGAGTGGAAATATTTCACGAGGCTCCCTAAGGGTTGAGAGAAACTCTGGGTTACTCTGGAAGGATTTTGTAGGATGTACCAAAGAGGCTACAGCAAGTCTAAGTAGGGGCTTACTTAAGAGGATGAGTGTGCTTTATTCTGTGGAGACAGCATGAAGAAAGAAGCTCTAGCTGGACTTTTTTTTGCACTAATTAATCCAGGTGAGCTAGGACAGGGAGTTATCTGAGAGCGCGGACATGCTCGCCTCTGCTTCCACCCACATGGGCTGGCCCTCTGAGCTCAATTCTTGAGAAAATCTTGAAGTACAAATTTACCATCGACTTTCATCGATCTGTGTTCTCTTTAGGAACCTGCTTGTCCTCACCTTAACTGTGTTTACCCAGCCTAGGTTTCCTGTTATTTCTTCCAGTTCTATATTTCCGCACTCCAGAGAACCTTTTTTTCCCTTGACTTTACCTACAATTATTCTTTCAATGGTCTTTGATGTCAATGTTTGCTAAGCGACAGACAGATATAAAACTTACATAACATTAAGTTTCTAATTTGGTAACATTTAACACGCAGACAAAATACATTTTATGACATTTCATCTCTTTGTAACTCTACCAAGCCCATCCCAAAGGCATTATGTTGGTGGATAGTTCACATCTGAGAAAGCGACTTGGGATACTTCATACAAAGTTACCATTACACTTTGTAGGAAGAATACATATATATATCATCTATATACACACATACATATATCTAAATGTACATATTTATCAAGCTTCTGATTAAATTTTTGCTAATTATCTGACAAATCAACAGACCTTCTAAGATAATTTCCCATCTCCAAAGATGAATTGGAGAAATACATTTTTGTGTGATTTTTCATTACCTAAAATAAGATCCAAAAGGTCAATGCCTGAGTTACCTTTAGTCTTATTAATATCTAAGTGAAACTAAAATTATTCAGCCAGGGCTAGGAGGAGGCAAACCGCAGAAATAGCAACTTTACCAAAGAAGAACTCACTTTCATCTTGTACCAAGGTTTTGTTACCTTTTCCTGTGTTATGAAAAACTCGGGTGTCAGAGTTCCAAGTCTGGACAATTGAGTTTTTATCAAACACACACACACACACACACACACACACACACACACACACACACACACATTGAGTTTTACACACACACACAACAAACACACACAACCTTTTGCCTATTTCCAAAGCTCTTTTTGCACATGTCCTGCCACATTTCTGCAAGCCCCATTGAGTTTTTACCAAACACACACACACACACACCTTTTGCCTATTTCCAAGCTCTTTTTGCCCACGTCCCACCACATTTCTGCAAGCCCCATTGAGTTTTTAACACACACACACACTGAGTTTTACACACACACTGAGTTTTACACACACACTGAGTTTTACACATACACACACACAACAAACACACACAACCTTTTGCCTATTTCCAAGCTCTTTTTGCACATGTCCTGCCACATTTCTGCAAGCCCCATTGAGTTTTTACCAAACACACACACACACACACACACACACACACACACACACACTTTTGCCTTTTTCCAAGCTCTTTTTGCCCACGTCCCACCACATTTCTGCAAGCCCCTGGCTTCTACGCCCCCCTCTCCCTCCCGGGTACTCACAGGGTCTGCGTGCTGGGGGGCAGGCTGGGGATGCGCTGGATGTCTTTGCAGGTGACTCTGAAGTCGCCCTCCTGGTGGCACTCGCAGGGCGGAGAGGGGCACCCCGGCCCCCCCAGGCTTCCATGCAGGACAAGAAGCAGCGCCAGCTGCAGCAGGGGCGTCGACCTCATTTTCCACAGGTCCCCGAGTCTAATTCCTCATTCTCCACCACGTCTCATTCCCAGCCCTTAGCGCCTCGGGCTCGCGAAGCTGGGGAGCAGGAGGGTTGGGTGGGGGGAGGCTCCGCGAGGCTGTGACTTCAGCACCAAAGAGGAGGCTGGAGAGGGAAGGAAGAGCTCTGAAGGGCTCCGTTTCCCTGGGCAACTCTCCACCCAAACAAGCCTACTTGCTTCACATTCTTTACCCAGAACCACGCGGCCGGATTCTTCTGTTCCCTCCTGTCCAACACCGGTCCAGGTGGTCCCCCTGCTTTCCAGGCTGCCCTGTGCGCCGCCCTTGAGATCTCCCCAAAGTCTAGTGAGTCGCCCCCTCCCTGCCTTGCCCCTCAACCCAATGGGCCACCTTTTCCCGCGGGTCGCCGCCGGCCAGCGCCGCCTGCCGGGGTGCACCGCACGCACCCCCACCCAGACAAAGTTCCCGCGGGATGCGCTGTGTCGGGCGACACCCCGATATCCCCCAGAACTTCAGTTCTCCTGGCCCAGGAGGCCTCTGCTGAGTGTTGAAGGGGGTCACACGTCGCTGACCAGCCCCAGGTGCGGACGCAGCCGGAGCCCGACACGCCTGGCAGATTCTCGCTGCTCCCCAATTTCAGCGCAAACCCCGACCCGCACGCGGGAGCCGAACGCCCCTCAGGGAGCCACCTGGTGGCGAAGGACGGACACTGCAGCGGGCGGACGCGGCCAGGCGCGGGGAACTGGGCTGTGGGGCCCTCTGCTGGGCAGAGCTGGGAATCGCAGGAGGCGTTCTGGTGCCCGGAATGGCTCGCCTTTCGGTTCTGCCACGGGGCTGGAAGCTGGCCTGTCCGTTCTGGTTTGTGTCCTGTAAAGACACCAGTGATTGTATTAGGGCCCACCTTCCTCTACTGTGACCTCAGTTTAATTGGAATATTTGCAAAGACCATATTTCCAAATAAGGTCATATTCCTAGATACCAGGCTGTGAAATGTCAAGGTATCTTTTGTGGGGTGACAGACACAAACATTTAACCACAGGGATGTTTGTGTTTGATAATTCTAATATCTTTTTCACTTCTGGGTCAGCTTAGGTTGGTTGATTTTCTTTTTCTTAAAAATGGTCTGCCTTTTTCTTCTGTGCACATTTGATCAACTTGGTTTGGATGAAAGATATTATAAAGTTCACCCTTTTGGGCATTGAATTATTTACTTTCATTTTTTAAAAATAAAATCTGCACTTTATTTTTATTTTTTAAATGGATTTTCTTTTTGTACAATTTTTATTTATTTATATTTGCTTAGAAAAGCAAGGGTGTAAGCCACAGGTACAGGGGGTGAGAGGATTCACCAGAAAAAGCAGGGAGCAGAGCAGGTGGATTTACTGAAATACACTGCTAAGGGGAGCAGCTGGTGAGACAGGCTAGGTCTGCTCCGTTAGCTCTCTGGCCAGGCATTGAACTCAGGCTACAGTGGTGATAGCGTGGCTTAATCCCTAGGCCACCAGCGAGACCCCCATGTAAATATTCTTGAGACCTTATCAGATGTGGTTATATTACCTGGCAACAGATTGATTATTTTAGATCTTGCTTTCAATATTAGGTGGGCTTAGAGTAGCATTTAATTCAGTGCTAATTATTCCCCACTTTTGAGACAAGACTCTTCTGAGTATTCTTTCTAATGCTCCATGAATTATGAAGTGTTTCAGTCTGGTTGGTGGGAGTAGTCACTATTCTGCTCTGTGTGAACTATAGGATATTTTCCCCTCCAATCTTGTCACATACATCTTTAGCTTCCATGTCTTCACATGCAAGTGATGATTCCTACACTGTCCATGGAAACCTTTCATAGTTTTCTCTCTATAACTCTCCTCTCTCTCAGTAGTTTGTCCTGTAAAATGCAGCTGCCTTTGTCTTTCCAGACTCTCAGCTCTGTCTTCTTGATTAGGAGCATCGCTGGGGTCTGAATTGGCTTCCCTGTCCTTGCATCATGGGTTAGGAACTCCCTGTAGGGTACGGAAAAATGTCAGGCTTTTCTGCCCTTCCGCCATCAGGATAGATGATGGATCCTTGTGGTCCTGAATGCATGCCTGATGGCGGGCACCGGAGTAGGGTGTGGGCATAGGTAGATGGGATTCGCCTGGGCTAAGACTGGGCTTTAAGGGTGGCGTCATGGGGACGCCAGCAGAAGCCAAGAAGTCAAGAATGAACGGAATCTGAAAGAAGAAGAGAAGCAGAGAGAACGCTGGAGAGCCCAGATAGAGTGTAGATTTCCTGGGGGCTGGGAGGCCTGACAGCCTCCCAGTCCCCCAGCACCCCTGCCTGCTGTGTACCAGGTAAATCCCAATAAAAGACCTGTAAAAACCACCGAGGATTCTGACTCCTCCTTTACCAGGTCTGCATGGGATCAGAAAACCTGCACTGTGTGGTTACTGCCTTACACTCCCTCAAAACAATACTTTGTAGCAATCATAAGGCTTACTTACTTGTTTCCTGTCTCACAGATATCATTGTTCTTCCTTGTCTGATGTCTACACTCTTGAAAATCATTGTTTCATTTATCTTGTTGGGGTTTTCTGTTTGATGCTGGTGTGAGGTTTAATTTGGGTCTCTTCTGCTGGGAACAGCAGTGGTATGCTGAAATCTGTAGAATTTTCGTCATGATTCAGACAGCATGAAATTGGCTTTATGGCCTTTATAATGTAGGTAAATTCTACCGGTTTCAATTTAGTAAATTGGAACAAGTCTTTAGGATGACCATGTTCTAATAGCCAGCTGAACAAATTGCTATGATAATCAATAAGGCAATTTTCTTCTCTAAGCCTAACTTTTAAACTGTGGCAAATATACAAGAAGAGAAGATGAACCAGTTTGAGTAAAGGAGAAAGTGTCTGTACTTAGATCATTAAACACATGCAAAAGATGCTTTTAGGGACCTCGCTGGTGGCCTAGGGGTTATGTTTCAGCACTATCACTGCTATGGCCTGAGTTTGATCCCTGACCAGGTTGATAACCCACTTATGGTGCAGCAGACCTCTCCTGTCTCTCCAGCTGCTCCCCTCAGCAGTGTATTTAAGTAGATCCACCTGCTCTTCTCCCTACTATGTCTCAGGTGAATCCTCTCACCTCCTTCCCTTCTTACTCCCCTCCCCTTCTCTGGCCTACACCCCAGTTCTTCTATGCAAAAATAAATAAATAAATCTTTAAAAACAAAGAAGCAAAAGAAAATTCTCTCCAACATGGGAGTTTTGATGTTCAGTGATATATTGCTCTTGGGAGTTTTGATGTTCAGTGATATATTGCTCTTGCTTTTCCATATTCATTACATCCAATAGGTTTCTCTCCATTATGAAATTGCTCAAGCAAAGTGAGATTTGATTTGTGACTGACAATATTCCCACACACCTTACAGGCAAGGGGGAGTTTCATGCTATTTCTTTGCTGACTGAGGTGTGACATCTGAATGGATGCTCTTCCATAGTCACAAGACTTATCTCCAGGATGAATTTTTTGATGAATGAAGATTTACTTTTGGCTGAAGGTATTTTCACATTTCTTACATTTGTAGGGCTTCTCTGTATATGACTTTTCAAATGTAGAAAAAAGTCTAAGATTCAAAAGAAAAAATTTTTTTTAAATATGTTGTACTTATCTTTTTTTTACTTTTTTTTCTTTTTTAAATAATAAATTTTATTTTTATATTCCCCATACAATTGCAACCCCTCCATTCTGACCCCAATCCCTCCCCTCCCGCCCCCCACCCCCAAAAAGTGTCTCTGGTTCATAGTTTTTTGTTGATTTTGATTTTCACTTTCTTATAGTTATTCATTTTCCTGGTCCCTTATTTAAGTTTTCTAGATTCCTGCTATGAGTGAGACCATCCGGTATTTTTCTTTTTCTTTCTGGCTTATTTAGCTGAGCATGATCCCTTCCAGTGCCATCCATGTTGCTCCAAATTGCATGTGTTTATCTTCAAAAGAAAATTTTATCATACTAGGCTCAGTCAAAATTTTCTCTGTAAGTATAAATTTTCTAATACTTAATGAAGTTTTGTTACATTTACTGGTTTCTCTCCAGTATGAATTTCTTTTTCTGCTTAATGAGATTTGCATCTGGCTACAGGCTTTCCCATAGTCCTTAAAAACACAGGGCTTCTTTCCTATCTGACTTCTGCATTTAATATGTGACTTCTGCATTTAGGGTTAATTTTTTTTTTTTTACTGAAGATATTTCCACGCTGATTTATGCTTAAAGAGGATTATTACTGTGAAGAGTAATCTTGAGCCAAGATTTCCAAACTAATTAAATTCTTGATTCCTTCCTTCCTACACAACTTCCCTTATGATGAAGAAAGTTTAAACCATGTTTCAAACCCTTTCTAAGTTGAAAAAGGTGTTACCTTAAATTATATAACATCTGAGATCAGAGGAAGTGTTTTTCCAATTTTTTTAAAATATTCACTGCTTTTCCCTTCAATTTATTCTTTAGTGAAGATGGATGCAACTTGCCTCCTAAGTTTTGTGGCCTCTCTACCTAATTGCTCATCATCGTATTGGGATCTGGACAGATTTTGATTCCAGTTCTTTCACCACCGTTCAGAGTTTTCTTCTTGCTTCAACAGGAGATTCCACACAGCTTAGTTTACAATCTTCTACTTTCCTGCCACTTGGACCCAAGGGCCTTACTGACCCACAGAAAAAGGCCAAAATGTCTCTGGAGTTTATTTTTGAATACAACTTTGAGCAAACAGCTTGATGACAGCTGCAAGTACATAGGTAGATCTACAGAAAAATTATTTTACGTTCAAATTGGAATGGTCACGTTATTCCCCTCAACCCCCACCTCCTTGTGTAAGTCAGGTTTTGGTCTTGTGAGGCCTCCTTTCCAGTTTTTCTATTCTTGTCTTCCATCACCTTACATCTATATTGGCCAGAGAAAATATTTGAAATGATCCTAATATTTCAAATTTGTATGCCAATTATTCATGGTGTGTGTGTGTGTGTGTGTGTGTGAGAGAGAGAGAGAGAGAGAGAGAGAGAAGAAACTGTTAAGGAGAGGCAATTATTTATTGTATAATGATTAAAAAATGTTAGATCCCTGCGTTTAGACTATAATGGAAAGGAACAACCAGGAAATGGATAATTACAGTTCAGAATGATTAGAATCAGGGAATGTGTATTAAGTTATTTCGCTCTTTTGAGGCAGTCAAGAAAGCTCTCACAGGTAAAGTAAAATTTTGTCTCGAGGAGGAAAGGATTAGTGAGAGCAGAAGGAAATGAGACTCTAGGGGATTACTTTGATTTCCATTCTTCAGTTTTTCAAAGTTCATTTCTTCGTTGAAGTTTTTATTAACTTTTCACGACTAAGTCGACTCCTCTGGGCAGAATATGTCTGTTTCATATTCTACAATAGTGAAGAGATGATACCCCAGATTGACAGGAGCAGCAGTCACGAAATGACGGTCTCACTACGAGCTATGCGGTCTTAGGCGTATCATTTGATTAAATAATCTTCTCCATTTCTTTTTAGTCCTAAAAATTGGTCAGCCTTGGGGACAAGATACTGGGCTATGGTATCTAAAAAATTCAGGCTTTCCTGTTCCCCAACAAGTAACAGAAACTACTGTTGCAACTGCTCTAAATATAGTTCAGTTTACGTCGGGGCCAAGGCACCTTTGCATCGGTAATTCATGATCTGGAGTTTGCCGTCAGGTGAAGCTCCAGGCCCTTTAATAAACACATAGACGACCCAGACGAGAGGGTGCGGCCTTGGGACTCAGGTGCCAACTAATCCGGCATCTTCCGGGAAAGTCCCCCGCGCCGACCGTTTGGCATCCTGGGACTTGCAGTTTCTCTGAGGCTCTCTTCCCCTTAGCTATTCCTTGCTTTTGTGGACGAGTTGGACTACAACTCCCAGAAGTCCCAGCGGCGGCAGCAGGGTCCTGTACCCTCGCTGCGGCTGGGCGGCTAGTTCAAGTTGCCATAGCTGCGAGTCTGGGGAGAGCAGAGTCGGTTGCGCCGCAGCGTCTGGTCAGTTGCACCTTCTGGGTCACCGGTGGCCGCGGGAGCCGGGTGGGGCCTCGGCGATGATCCGGCATTAAGGGCCTGACGTCCTCTTCTATCTCAGGTACCCACGCCCAATGTACCCCTTGCCCTGTCTTTTGCACTTCCCTGTCTCATCGAAGACGTTTTCGGTCCGACTTCCCCTCGTCCCTCGGGTGGAGACGCCAGAAGCTGCGCGGGCGTGCGGGGTGGGGCGCTGGAAGGGTGCCGTGAGCCATGGTGGGGGTGAGGACTGGCCAGGTCCCCGGACGCCCCCTCCCTCGACTAGGGTGTCCACTGTCAGGTCTTGGCGCAGCCTTTGAAGGGTCTGTGCAGTAAGTTGTCTTCCTTGTGGGAGCTGAATGAACTGCCTCCAGCAACCGTGAATTTTGATGCCATCGAGGGGATTGACCTCATCTTGGCCTCTACCAGCCTGGCCTGGAGTGTAACTCGGCGCCTTGTGCCTAGTCTGTAGTTCCAGAAGGTTTTGCTACCCTCAGCAACACGGTTCAGTGGCCTTTGCCAACATGGGAGTGGCCCCAGTGGAAGCTAGTGGGAGGCCCTTATTTGAGTATTTTGTAGGAATACCTGACTTTGAATTCCAGCTGCATCTTTTATGGTTTGATGGAGCCAGGCCTTTAAAACCACTTCCCAAAGGAGTCTTTAAAACCACGGCACAGGTTGTCTTGAGTATCATGTAAAGTAACCTAGGGTCTGACACATTGGAAGGGCTCACGATTTCCTTATTTTTGTTAATTATGCAGAATAGTTCTGTGTAATAAAAATATGGTGTGAGCCACACATGCACGTTTGTATTTTTTAGGACCCACAGCAAACAAGTAAAAGACTGGTAGAAAAAATTTTAGTCTTTTATTTAGCACAATATATCCAAATTGTTTTCATTTCGATGTGTAATGTATATGAAACTTATTGAGATATTTTCCATCCTTAAAAAAAATTCCTTTAAGGGTACAAGTCTATGATATCTGGCATGTGTTTTTTGCTTACCCGCTCGTGTCTCTTTGAACTGGCCAAATTTCACGAGTAGTGTGGCCACATGTGGCTAGAGACTACTCTCCAGAAAAGACAGGAGATGAAAATCTAGGCAGTTTCACATTGGCACAGAGACATTTAGCTTTGTCTGACTTCTGCAGTGCAGGCCACTGCGCTGATAGAAGAGTGAAGTATGCATGGCATCTGCGCCCTCTTGGCCTGTCCTGTCTGCCATGGGTGCCATGACTTGGCCACTTTGAACTTTCTCTCAACAGTTTATTTTGATTATCTTTTTGAGACTACCTTTTTTGTCGAAGTGGCTTATGGATATAGTCCAAGATTTACTTTTCATGTGGTCACTGCCAGTTTTCTGGGTAACTTTCTGTGGATTCTTATACACGGCTTTGAAAGCAGTCACAAAGAATGGAAAATATTTCTAGCTGCAGCTGTTTCTAACATCCAGACATTTTGCTCTTTTTATTTTACCCATTTATTACAATGCTAAATATCGGAAGAACTGAGCAGCATTTAAAATATTTCCTTAGGAGTGCTGCCTACCTACCTACCTATCTATCTATCTATCTATCTATCTATCTATCTATCTATCTATCTATCTATCTTTCTGTTGTCTATATTCTTTCTCTATCTAGAAATACTGTTCATGTTAATTTTATTAACATGTTTATGTCAATTGGCTAATTTGATTTCCTACCTTAATTTACCTACTGATATGTTCCTGACCAAACTTGGGTTACAGTTCACACTGTGACATTATGTTGCCAGCCCCAGGGGTGATTAGATGTGGGTGGAAATCACCATTGAGGAGTATGCTAGTTGCGTACTTGGAGATGAAACATCCCGGTGAATTCCCTGCCTCACCAGAGGAACATGTTTCTGTTTTCTGACATACCACACACGGCAAAGTAAGGGTGAGCATATTTTCATATTTTATTAAAACAAATTTAAGGCTGTAGGTGCATTTTTACCCCCTTGTTTCATTTATCTGTAGGTGGTTTGGGAAAAGTGTAGGGGCAACCAAAGATCATCTACTTGACTAGGCCTTTTGCCCTGAACCTCATGAAGAAATGATAGGAGGCAGACATATGTGCCTAAGAAGAGCACTGAGCTCAGAGGAGAACAACACGGAGTTTTGGGGGTGTGCTTTGTAAGTATGCTTTCTCCCTGAATTTCTGAGATAACAGATTATGTCAGTAAATTTAACTTGAGGGGCAAGGAACCCCTTTGTAACATATAGTATAAAAATAAAATTAGGATGGTTGTGCATGCAATGTTACAAAAATTCAGATGGACAAAATAGATTCATTGTTATAAAACTTCAGGGGACAGTTACCTTAGCCAAAGCAACCTTTTGTTAAGACACCTTAACAAAAGTAACAATGATGCAACTGTTTCTATTTGACCAGTGTTGGAGAACCTGTTTTGTTCCAGGCACTGTATTAGGCACCTTCTAATTGTTATTTATGTATAATACTTTTATTATGCTTATCTTCATTATACAAATGAGGCATTTGAGCTGCAGATAATTTATTTGATTTGCTTGGCATTTTGGAGCAAAAGCAGCCATCTTCCTCAGATCTCCTGACTTGAAGTCCCAATTTTGCTTGGTCCAGTGAGGTGCCTTTGCTATCTGTGGTTGCCCTCTAATACCATTTGATTTACATGTAGCATTTTTAGACTTAGAGTACAGCAAAGTATTTGTTCTTATTTATCTCTTTAAATATTCAAAAGATTCAATTATCTTTCTTAATTTTTTCAAGGTAAAATGGCCTTTATTATTGAGATAAGATATAGTTATAATTTATGATTTATGTTGTACTTATTCAACATAACTTGTTGATAATCAAGTATGTGTTAAAAACCCAAGTTTTGCAATGTAGATTTACAATTATGAACACTTTTGAGCATTTTGATGAAGTGCACTTCAATGTATAGGGGTGATCCATTGAACTGTCCCTTCCAGTTACACCGTGTCTGAGATGTATGCTGTACAAAATTCTTAGAATTAAAAAACTGTGGAGCTGGAAATTCTCAACTGCAGTCTTGATACTCTTGGGAATAATGTTAAAATAATCTAGAGTAAATTCATGTTATCCATATGAAAGTGTCACTGAGTTGATCCCAGTTGGAAATGTTTTCAATATATTCATTCTCTGTTTTTCTTACAAGAATGTGTTATGTGCCAACACTTAAAGTTCTACCTTGTCTTTCTTTTTTTTTTTTTAAGGATTTATTTATTTATTTATACAAGCACCGGGTACAGTCAGAAGCACGGGAGGGTGAGAGAATTCACCAGAGCCAGAGCGGGGAACAGAACAGGCAGACTGATGAAACACAGTGCTGAGGGGAGCAGCAGGCGTGGCAGGAGAGGTCTGCATGCCATGTGGGATCCTTGCAGGCAGCTGAGGATAGAACCGGCACTGCAGAAGCTGTGGGCAGCCTCGCAGCCCAGCGCTCAACCGCTGCGCCACCAGGGGAGGCCCTCCATTGTCTTTCTTAACTGATATATTTATTTTCAATATCCTCTGTCAGTGGATCTATGTTCATTTTTTTTTACTGCCGTAATTAATTTTGCAATGAAAATTTTATGCATACATCTGCACATAGATGTGGACAGATGAGTTTTATTTTCCTAGCATAATATTCATCAAAGTAGAATCTCTGGGTCAAAAACTTATGTGTATTACTTATTTTTACTTGTACTTTTGCTGCCTATAAGCAGCAATTGGCACATTGAAGCAGTACTAGGAATGGATGCTGATAATAAAGTGTCTGGATGGCAATTTGTAGTTTAGAGCTTTGTAAAACATAATAGTTGAGGTATGCAGGTAGCTGCAAATGACAATAATTAATGAAAATGATTTGCAGTAGCTCAAACAAACCTGCTAGGTTTGATTCAGTTACAAGTTTTTAACGCATGTGTTCAAATGGCTTTGAAATGTTTATCTTTTAATAGGCATATTTTCAGGTATTCATACTGAAAATATTTTGCAGTTCAATCTGTATTGGTTAAGATTTAAGATAATGAATCTAGACCATTTACCAATTCAGCAAATATCTCTGGATTAATCAGACAGAATAATAGGGAAAATCTAATTGTAAATCCTTTTAAACACGTTCCAGGTTCATGCGAGGTAGTATGTTAAATGTTGAAATATAACCATGAAGAGAGTCCCTGATGAGATTTAGAGTTTTAAGTGGAAATCGACAAGTAAATACTAATCTATGGGCTGTGATGAGGTGGAATCCAGTGTGGGAGTTTAGGTGGAGACAGTGAAGATAGACTTTGTAGGGGAAGTTTCTTCTGAACTGAGACTTGAAGGAAAAATAAGGGTTAGCCAAGGGCAAAGGAGTAAAAAGAATGTTCCAAGCAGTGAATCCATCCTAGGTTTGATGGTGAGATTAACATGACATGATAGAGGAACTGAAAAATAAATCCTGTGATACAAATAATTGCATTTCATGGACATCTTTAATAAATATCTTGTTTTAACTTAGAGCTACAAGAGTGTGGGGGTTGGAGAGTAGAGAAGATCATTTCTGGCTGAAGATGGAAGACTTCTTTAAGAGTATATTATTTGAGGGCCTCCCTGGTGCTGCAGGGGGCTAAGCACAGCACTATAAAGCTATCCTCAGCCTCTGCAGCTCGAGTTCGATCCCTGGCCTGCCAGGGAGCAACCCACATGGCACAGCAGACCTCTCCTGTCTCACCTGCTGCTTCCCTCGGTGGTGTATTTCAGTCAATCTGCCTATTCTGTCCCCCACTCTGTTTCTGAATCTTTTCACCCCCCACACCTCTGGCCTGTACCCCAGTTCTTGTATGCATAAATAAATAAATCTTAAAAAAAAATGTATTATTTGAGCTCTGCCTGGAAAGATAAGTGGAATTTCCATAGGTGACAGAAGGCATTCTAGACAGAAATCATGAAGTAAATGAGGAATGTCATAGGGAAATAGCTAGTGTAACAGCTGGATATGGGCTTTATGTTTTCTGTGGTTCTTTAGAGAAAGGTGGCTAGCTGTGAGATCTGAATTCTTGATTCAAGAACATAGGTTGGGGTGGATAGGAAAAGACTCAGTGTTTAAAGAAACTATTTTGGTGCCTAAGAAAGAGTTAAGACAAGTCTTGGTTATGAGTGGTACCAGTGGCAATGAGAAGAGTTAGGAAAATGGGCCCTAGAGAAGGTTGAAGACTCAGCCCTGCCACTTAGCTACTACATAATCTTGAGTACCTGTTTTAGCACCTTCAGGCTTCTTATGCATATACTTTGATGAGAATGGTACTTGGTAGGGTTATTGTCATGTTTCAATAATCTGTGATGCTAAAATAATTTAGCATTATTATTTCAACTTTCATTTATTGAAAAATTTCAAAATTTTTTGAAATTAGGATTCTTTATCAGGGTCCACATCTGGGTACCACAATATAGTTTTTAAGCATAATTGGTTTTAAATGATATTGTATTTCATTATACAGTATAACACAGTATACTTACATTATAACTGTATTTCATTATAATTGGATTCCTTTCTAATTCTATATTCAAAAAATTTAGAAAGTACTGTCTTAGAGACACAGGATATGAGTTCTAGTTCAGTTACTGCAACTTTTCAATAAAGCAAAAATGGAGAAGATTTTACTCAAAGCTTCTGTTTCCCTTTAAGCAGTCAAGTGAAGGGTTGCAATTATACCAGCTTCGTAGGATTGAAATGGAGATCAGAAGAGAAATGCTGATAAAAATGCTTTGTTGTGTTATCAAGCAATTGCAATTTGAGGTATAAATACCAATGAGAGATAGTTCCCTTGAAATTTTTGGTGTTATTTTGTTCCAGAGGAAAGTGAAGAAAAGCTTCTGTTTCTATTTAAAAGTAGGAGGAAGAAAACAAGTATGCTTTATAATATACTTAAGAAATGACTTGTTTCTTATGAAAACCTGAAGTTATTATGGGGAACAGTAAATAGCCCCAACTGCTATTTGTGATTGCTAAGAATTTTTTTCTCAAAAATGACTAGCATATTAATTTGTTATAGCGATTCCCTCATGCTTATTTTGTGCCTCCTAACTTAGATTTGTCTTTTTTTCCCCTACCCACCATTAGAGACATTCTGAAACCAACCCTGTTTTCTTTTTTGTTTGTTTTTCTGTTTTTAAATAATTTTTAATTTTTTTTACATCATTGTTCATTTTTAAACAATATTTGCTTTCCTCTACCCCTTCAGGTGTCCCCATAGACTTTCCTTCCCCAGTGCACCCGTGCACCATCACCTCAGTCCCCTGTGCTCCTCCCTCCCTCCCTCTGATCCCTCTCCTGCCTCCTCCCCTGCAGGATGTCTCTGATTTATAATTGTCTGTTTTTGCTTTGTTGTGTTTTGTGCTGTTATTATTTTTTTACACTGATGTCTTACTTGGTTCCCCTGTATTCCTGCTATAAGTGAAACCATCTGATATTTTTCTTTTTCCTTCTCACTTATTTCACTGAGCATAATTTCTTCTAGCTCCATCCACGTTGCTGTGAATGGCGTGAGTTTATCTTTTTTGATTGTTGAATAATATTCCATTGTGTATATATGCCACATCTTCTTGATCCAGTCATCTATTTTTGGGCGTTTGGGTTGTTTCCAGGTTTTGCCTATTGTAAACAGTGCTGCAATAAACATAGGTGTACAGGTATTCTTTCGAATTGGTGTTTTTGTGTCCTTTGGGTAGATCTCTTCAAGTGGAATTGCCGGGTTGTATGTTAGCTCCATTTTTAGTAGACAGAGGAACTTCCAGACAGCTTTCCATAGTGGTTGGACCAGTTTGCACTCTCACCAACAATGTAGGAGAGTTCCTTTTCTCCAAAGAGGAAATGCAAATGGCCAACAGGCATGTGAAATAATGTTCAACATCCCTTATAATCATGGAAATCAAAACCACACTGAGATACCACCTTACACCAGTAAGAATGGCACATATCAAAAAAACTAGCAACGAGGATGTTGGCGAGGATGTGGTGAAACCAGCCTGTTTTCTCAAGAAAAGTAGGCTTGGGAGGAAACCTGAGCCAAATCAAATGATTTGATTTAGTAAACGATATGTATCTGTTAGCCTTTGCTGTATAACAAATAAAACCTTGAGGTTTACAGCAATACTTGTTAATTGCTTG